CAGTAATTCGATTCACGTAAGGCCGGAGGAATTGGCAGTGCTACGAATAAACACTAGAACTACAAGAGTCATTAAGCATAAAAACCTCCAAATAACGGAGATCACACCTAACCCAACCGGAATCAATTACAAAACTGAGGAACTTTGACAAAACCCACAAGAAAACCATAAGATAAAGATTTATCTAAAATCAATATGGTACATATTCAAAAGCCAAAATCTAGTGAATGTGCAATAGAGATTCGTAAAATAACCAAAATCAATTGGCACCCATTATTAAAAGGTATGACATTACTGCACACAATGTCTCAAACATAAAAGCATCACCAATACTAAATAATCTATCCCAGTAAAATGCGAAATTACAAATATGCAAAAAACCATCAATGGGTTACAATACGAACACAACCATCCCAAGAATGACTAAAGCTAGGTGCGTTAAAAAATACCAGGAATAAAGACGTAAACTGAGCTCGATAATTCGACTAAAAATATCTTGACAGGTATGAAACTGTAAAGAATAAAGCAAATGGCCAACGCCCGCCAAAAAATGTAAAATGAAATAAGAGGATCCAAATACACAAAAGACTTTAATACCTCAATCATGAAACAATTTAAAATTGAATCATTTGACCCTTCTTCTTCTTATCTCCACCGAGCTCGAAATGCTTGCATCTTTTAATTTTAAGTTGCTGCTTATATTTGCATTCGTTGCATTCCAACCTCAGAACGATTTTTTTGGTAGTCTTAGCCTTCTTCCGGAAAATAGGCTTAGTCTGACCACCATAGCCTAAAAAATAGAATTTAAAAATAAGCATATGACACACCTTTCTGTTTGCGGTCATAACGCCTTTTTCCTCTAGTATAAAGACTAGCTTTACCAGCCTTATACTGAGTAACTTTATGAGTAGTGTGCCTCTTGCACTTTGAACTCTTGCAGAAAGTTTTTCTCGTTTTAGGCACGTTAACCATTCCGAACAAGCCGCTTCTTAAGTGGCGCTGCTGTAATTTTGGTAAACATAAACAATAGCGAAAAATTTTCAGATAATTATAAATTAAATTTAAAAGTACAATTTATTTTTAACGATATTTTGCATTAAAAAGAAATGTACAAAAATCAATGATTGAAATTGTTTTTATTTCCAGACTCAAAAATCGTTTGACGTAAATATTGGAGGCGTTTTAACATACGTTTAGAACCATATCTAAAATAATAGAATGTAATTCAATTGCGATTAGTTAATTGAATTTTATATTGTTCAGAATGCATTTAGCTGACTTAAATTAAAATTTTTCATTACTTTCTTCCATTTTTCCCTATTACTTTTATAAATGATGGAATTATTATTATTTAAATTTCAATTCTACATAAATTTATGTATACCTCATTTTTAATTATTTATGAAACTTCGTTTTATGTTTGTTTTAGTTGGTTTTTACGCGCACTTTATTTGGCTTCTCTGGAGGTGAGCGTGTTTTTGGTTTTATATTTTTTCATCGGTAGATATGACTAAGGGAACGACATCGTTCGGTAAGCGTCATAACAAATCCCATACGCAATGCAGGAGATGTGGTAAGAAATCCTATCACATTCAGAAAAAAACTTGCGCCTCCTGCGGCTATCCTAGTGCCAAAATGAGGAAATACAATTGGTCTGCAAAGGCATTAAGGCGCAGGACTACTGGAACAGGTCGCTGTCTTCACTTGAAGTCCGTTCAAAGAAGGTTTAAGAATGGTTTCCGTTCCGGTCAAGCTAAGCCTAGGGCCAAGCCTGTTAAGACCGCATAAATTTCTTAATAAATGGTTATCATTGTATATCTGAAGGAAGTTCTCTTTTTAATTTTTTATCGGATTTGTTCCATCTTAGTACATTAAATTTAGGGCTTTATTGATTAAGATTTATAAATGTTAAATTTCGGATTAATTTTGGAATTTACCCTTGAAGTTTGGTTATCGCATCGGGTTGTTTGCAGTTTAAATTGTTTTCCTCGTATGTTTTCATTTCAAACATATTAATAGTTTTCCATTTTTTGTTCCCCCTGATGTTGATTTATTTCGTGTTTTGAAATTTTTAACAGTTGTCCGATATGTCATGCGAATGCCTTTTCTTTGATGTTCCTCCAATGCCCACTCTTCCGGGTTAAATTTTGAGCAATCTGGCTTTTATACTGCTTTTCTCTGTGGAATTGTAGTTTTCGCGTCATGTGTTTTTATTACAATTGAATTTTTCTGTTTCATCAGATATCTGTTTAGTTTTGCTTATGTCGATGTGCTCAAAAGTCCAATCTTTAGCTTAGTTTATTTCGTGTGATTCTGCGATCCAAATCTTTTTATGCGAAAGGGCCTGATTGCTATAGTAAATTAACTTGTATTGCTACCTTTGTCGTTGATGACGTGAATATCGGATCTCGTGTCTCTGTTTCATTTCAACGTACTTTCAAATATTGAAGTCAGGCGCACCTAATCTGGTATAACAGGGAATCAAATGAAACATTTTCGTCTATT